TTGAATCTCCTCTGAATTCTTTTATGTATGATTTGTTATCTTTGCAAGTCTCTTCGAATTATTAGTTTGGTTTGGCCTACTAGATTGATCTTTCTTGCAATGGGAGAAGTGCTTAGCTTTAGGTTCAATCTTGCGATGTCCTTTCCCAGTGACAGCAGGGGCAGGAATGCACGTATTGTATTGTTGCCATCGAGGATAAAAAGATGGGGTTTATATCATATTCCTTGAGTTTATCCCTCTACATCATGTCATCTTGCCTAATGTGTTACTCTGTTCTTATGAACTTAATACTCTAGATGCATGCTGGATAGCAGTCAATGTGTGGAGTAATAGTAGTAGATGTAGAATCGTTTCGATCTACGTGTCGCGGACGTGATGCCTATATACATGATCATGCCTAGATATTCTCATAACTATGCGCTTTTCTATCAAATGCTCGATAGTAATTTGTTCACCCACCGTAATACTTATGCTATCTTGAGAGAAGCCACTAGTGAAACCTATGGCCCCTGGGTCTATTTTCCATCATATAAGTTTCCGATCTATTTTATTTTGCAATCTTTACTTTCCAATATATATCATAAAAATACCAAAAATATTCATTATCTCTATCAGATCTCACTTTTGCAAGTGGCCGTGAAGGGATTGACAACCCCTTTATCGTGTTGGTTGCAAGGTTCTTATTTGTTTATGTAGGTACGAGGGATTTGCGTGTAGCCTCCTACTGGATTGATACCTTGATTCTCAAAAATTGAGGGAAATACTTACGCTACTTTGCTGCATCACCCTTTCCTCTTCAAGGGAAAATCAATGCATGCTCAAGAGGTAGCAAGAAGGATTTCTGGCGCCGTTGCCGGGGAGTCTACGCACAAGTCAAGACATACCAAGTACCCATCACAAACTCTTATCCTTCGCATTACATTATTTGCCATTTGCCTCTCGTTTTCCTCTCCCCCACTTCACCCTTGCCGTTTTATTCGCCCTCTTTTTCCTGTTCGCCTCTTTTTCGCTTGCTTCTTGTGGTATTCGATGCCACTATGTCTGAAACTGGGGAGGTTATCGTTGATAAGGACAACAGTAATAACGTGGGAAACTTTGATGCTTTTGATGATCCTGCTGAAGAACCCACTATCTTACATACTAAAAAGTTTCGAATCGGTAGTGGTAATATTATTGGAAAAGGGGTTATTCAAGATTTTTTTACTTGCGCCGGTGCTTTGCACGCTATGGGTGGATCTATTCTTCATAGAACTAGTAGTCTTGCGGATGCTATATCCTTGCTTATAGTTGAACTTGAAAGATAGTTTATTCATATGCATCCTTGCATACAAAGGATTTTCTTAGAATTTTTCAATATTGAGCATTCTTTTGTTAAGCGTGCAGCTACTATCTTTTTGACACATGAGTTCAGATTTATCTAATACCCCTATAGAAGGACGAGAGGGCGGAGAACCAAATCATCCTATCCATTGAAACCTGCAATCCAATGGTCTACATCCCTTTAGCATACTAAACATGTTTTATGCTTTAATTACCCACCATGCCATTATGTTAGTTAATTACCCACCATGCCATTGGATTAATAAGCAACTAATAATATCGATCTGACCTCGCTGCTGTCGTTCGAAAAGAAAAAAACTGCCAACAACGCACGCACGCACGCCCCCGCACGCCCCCTGCCCCCTCCTCATCCTACCATCCGACGCCACAGCACGGCGGGGATGCTGTTCGCCAATCCTCCTGCACCCGATCCGTCTCACCGGAACCGCCAAGCCTGCCCACATGGGGATCACCACCGCACACACCCCCTCACCTTGAAGGGACCCTGCCTATCCGGCTCGAGTTCCTTGCATTGCCACTGACCGCTCTACCATCTGCCCGACTGTAGGTCAGGGTGCTCGTCATCGATGAGAGGCGCGCGGGAGCTGTCGCTGTCGCCGAGGACTTCGACACACGCGGGGCAGCCAGATGACCCACAAGTCTAGGGGATCTATCATAGTCCTTTAGATAAGTAAGAGTGTCGAACCCAACGAGGAGCAGAAGGAAATGACAAGCGGTTTTCAGTAAGGTATTCTCTGCAAGCACTGAAATTGTAGGTAACAGATAGTTTTATGATAAGATAATTTGTAACGGGTGACAAGCAATGAAAGTAAAGAAGGTGCAGGAAGGTGGCCCAATCCTTTTTGTAGCAAAGGACAAGCCTGGACAAATTCTTATATAGAGAAAAGCGCTCCCGAGGACACATGGGAATTATCGTCAATCTAGTGTTCATCACGCTCATATGATTCGCGTTTGTTACTTTGATAATTTGATGTGTGGGTGGACCGGTGCTTGGGTACTGTCCTTCGCTGGACAAGCATCCCACTTATGATTAACCCCTATTGCAAGCATCCGCAACTACAAAAGAAGTATTAAGGTAAACTTAACCATAGCATGAAACTAGTGGATCCAAATCAGCCCCCTTACGAAGCAACGCATAAACTAGGGTTTAAGCTTCTGTTACTCTAGCAACCCATCATCTACTTATTACTTCACAATGCCTTCCTCTAGGCCCAAATAATGGTGAAGTGTCATGTAGTCGACGTTCACATAACACCACTAGAGGAGAGGCAACATACATCTCATCAAAATATCGAATGAATACCAAATTCACATGACTACTACTAGCAAGACTTCACCCATGTCCTCAGGAACAAACGTAACTACTCACAAAGCATATTCATGTTCATGATCAGAGGAGTATTAATATGCATTAAGGATCTGAACATATGATCTTCCACCAAATAAACCAATTAGCATCAACTACAAGGAGTAATCAACACTACTAGCAACCCATAGGTACCAATTTGTGGTTTGGGTACAAGATTGGATACAAGAGATGAACTAGGGTTTGAGAGGAGATGGTGCTGGTGAAGATGTTGATGGAGATTGACCCCCTCTAGATGAGAGGATCGTTGGTGATGACGATGGTGATGATTTCCCCCTCCATAAGGGAAGTTTCCCCGGTAGAACAGCTCTGCCGGAGCCCTAGAATGGTTCCGCCAAGGTTCCGCCTCGTGGCGGCGGAGTTTCGTCCTGTAAGCTTGCTTATGATTTTTTTTCAGGCTAAAAGACTTCATATAGCAGAAGATGGGCACCGGAGGGCCACCAGGGGGCCCATGAGGCAGGGGGCGCGCCCAGTAGGGGTGGGCGCGCCCCCACCCTCGTGGCCAGGGTGTGGGCCCCCTCTGGTACTTCTTTTGCTCAATAATTCTTATTAATACCAAAAATGTCTTTCGTGGAGTTTCATGACTTTTGGAGCTGTGCAGAATAGGTTTCCAATATTTGCTCCTTTTCTAGCCTAGAATCCCAGCTGTCGGCATTCTCCCTTTTCATGTTAGACCTTGTAAAATAAGAGAGAATAACCATAAGTATTGTGACATAACGTGTAATAACATCCCATAATGCAATAAATATCGATATCAAAGCATGATGCAAAATGGATGTATCACAGCCGCGGGCGAATGAAGCCGCAAGTGAGACCTCGACGGGCGGCACCGAACAACGGTCTCCTCCCTGCTACGCGTCATTGACCTCCCTCCTGCAAGCTCCGCCTTCCTTTGGCGTTATTTCCTCCACAACAGGCTGCTCCATCCATCGGTACCCTACAGAGTATGTAGCCACCATGACATCTCTCTCCCTCTAAATCCCTTCTTTGTGTTGTTTGTTTTTCAGAAAAATTATGGATTATTGTGATTAACCCAATATAACTTTTGAGGTGAACAGAAAAACTATGTTTCACCTTGTAGTGATTTGTGAATGGCATACGCACGCCGGATACCAACTCTGGCATAATGAGCTTAAGGACATAATGAAAGATTAGTATGCAAGTTTGTTATCAATTTGATGATACACGGCCAGTAATACTTGTTTCTTTTGCCTAAAACAAGGGCTGTAGTGAGTTGTGACTTACAGAAAAACATTCCATCTTCCCTATATTTCTACACTAGCTACTTCTATATTGTGCAACACTTCACTTGAGTTTAGGTCCTTGTATATTCAGTTCATCTCCCCCCCCAGATTTATCATGTTAGGAATCTGTTTGTTGTATGAAAAAAGGGTAACTTATTACTGCCGTAGCTAGGGTGTGAATTTGTTCTACCATGTGTTTTGTTATCCATGCAGGTCCCCGATGATTTCTTTTAGCATGTACTACAAAATTAATCTATTGTTTGGTGTAACCATGTTGAAGATTTACCATTTGTGCATGCATGCTGTTGACTTTAAGTTAGAAGGTGCTTTGCTATTTCTGCTGAGTTTCTTTGTAGGTCCTATTCATTTCAGCACTCAGATTTACCTGCATATGTGTCTACGTACTGAAGAAAGATGCAGCCAAGGAATTTTTAAAGATGGTGTCTAGAGATAGCCTGCTGGCCCTAATGGCTGAACCCCATGAAAAATTCCAGCCGGCATGCACATCGCCACAAGTCCATGTAAGAAAATTAACCTTTTATTGTCCAAATGTTGTTTTCTGGTTTTGCATGTATGAGGAATGGTTATTAGCACAGAAAACATATTTATGTTCTCCTTTTTTTTAAACATGCATGGTTCGTGAATACTTATTTCAGTTTTGCCTATCAGAGGATTAGTTAGTGAATTTCTATTTGGCTACTTCTGTTCTCCTATTTCTAACATACCTATTTTAGTTTTGAGGAACCCATCCTATCTTTGAAAGTTTCAGTAAAATGGTTGCTTTGGACTGATGATCTGTGTGTTCTGTCTGATTTTCATCTAGGAGTGCTTTAATGCTATTATTTCTGTACTTTATGGTTGCCTTAGCTTGGAAAAAGTCTCCCATTTGCTTCTTCAGTAGTGAGTTCTCTGTATTCTTCCATGATGTCAAAAAGTAGTATCAGTTGGTTGGAGTATCTGATCAGCATGGATAATCGAGAAATGCTCTTTGAACAGATCTTAATTGAGTTCCTACACCAGCTATTACTAGATAAATTGTGTACGATGCCATGCTTGCACCCTTGTTCCAAGAGTATTTGCAGTTCTATTCTTGGTTGTTCGTTGCACAAGAAGGTGAGTATTCTTATTTCTTTTTTGATTCACAACTATTGGGATGAATTTATTCGTGCATTTCATCCTAGGATAGACAATAATTTGAACCTGTTAACCGGGAAAAGATATGCCCATCACCATTCCACTTTTTTTAGTTTAAGGAGAACTGAGTAGTCAAATATCTGGTTATTTGTTTTCTATTCTATGTATATATGTGGTTGCAACATTATGCTGCAGCAACTATTTTTTTCTTCGGGAGTTGGGGCATGCGTTCAATTGTGTTAAAACATAAGCTAATTTAATTTGGGGCCTAACTATGATAGTTTCCAACTAAATGAGGATCTACTTTTGCTAATAGTGCTAAAATAAAAGAGGATCTAGACTCTCACGGGTTTATATTTGTGTGTGTGTGTGTGTGTGTACGCGCGTGTGCTTCCTTGTATAATGGTGATGATGATTTAAATGACTTTGGTTTTCTTGGAAGCAAATTCTGAATTATGGATTGTCCACTTCACATCAAATTTTCATGATACTAACTCTGTATTTGGATGAGAATTGTTGTGGTTGATATACTATCTAAACTTTTTTATACTATGTTATGTTTAGTTCTTACATATTGGCATAGACATGCATTTGCCAATCCCATTAGTTGATTGTAGCTACCTTCGAAGTTGCTCTGTGTGTGAAGGAAGCTCAGAAACAATGTTTTCTTGAGGAAACAGAGCATGATTGTGGATCTTTTCAAAATGGTCTGGATGAGAGTGATTGGCTTGCTGAACTGACTGAGATTGGAATGCTTGAAATATTCGAAGATGTTGGCCTCTCTACTGTTCAAACAACTTGTTCTTCTCAAGGAATCAACACAACTAACTTGGAACAACGTTGACCCTTTACCGCCACCATATACCATAGCCTGCACTGAAAGGGCCAGGGGCGGTGCTAGGGGTATTCTTAGGTTCACTAACAACCACAAGCTGGACGCCAAGAACATTGGGGAGACCATCTTCAAGCTTCATGAGAAAATCGAGCACCTCCAAGCCCAGATCTATGACCTGCAAAACCAAAACTGTGAGTATGAATATAGATTCAAGAGGATGAGTTTGGCTATAGATTTGAGGATCCCGGAGACTCGACCATCCTTCTATGATGGTGAGCCTATGCCTTGGAAGACGGACGACAAGCCTACATCATCAGCAACCCCTTCTTCACCATCTCCGAGGACATAATCACATGGGTATGGGCACTCCCCTTGGCAACTGCCAAGCTTGGGGGAGGTGCCCCAGTATCGTATCACCATCACACTCCTATCTTTACCATTTTTCTTAGTTCAATCCTTTTGGTAATATCTAGATCTAGTAGAATAAAGTTTTGGTATGAATTAGTTTTGAGTTTTGCTTTGTGGTCCCTCTATGTAATCGAGTCCGTGAGCTATATATAATAAAGATTAGTATTGAGTCAAGGGCTTTTCTATCTTGCTATGATCTTGAGAAATAGAAAGAACAAAAAGAAATAAAAGAGACCATATTGATCTTTGGGATAGTAATGACTTCACACATAAAGATGAGGCATAAAAGTTGTTGAGAGTTGGCAAACATAGTTTTGGTCATTGTTGCAATTAAAAGGAAGTAATAGAGAAAGAGAGGTTCTCACATATAAATATACTATCTTGGACATCTTTTATGATTGTGAGCACTCATTAAAGTATGACATGCTAAAGAGTTGATGTTGGACAAGGAAGACAACGTAAAGGGTTATGTTTTCTCACATCTTAGTTAAAGTATATTGTCATGGATCATTCCAACATGTTGAGCTTGCCTTTACCCCTCATGCTAGCCAAATTCCTTGCACCAAGTAGAGATACTACTTGTGCTTCCAAACATCCTTAAACCCAGTTTTTGCCATGAGAGTCCACCATACCTACCTATGGATTGAGTAAGATCCTTCAAGTAAGTTGTCATGTTGCATGCAATAAAAATTGCTGCTAAATATGTATGACTTATTAGTGTGGAGAAAATAAGCTTTATACGAGCTTGAGATATGGAAGTAATAAAAGCGACGGACTGCATAATAAAGGTTCATATCACAAGTGGCAATATAAAGTGACGTTCTTTTGCATTAAGATTTCGTGCATCCAACCCTAAAAGCACATGAAAACCTCTTCTTCCCTCTGCGAAGGGCCTATCTTTTACATTATGCAAGAGTCAAGGTGATCTCCACCTTTCCTTTTTATATTTTATCCTTTGGCAAGCACCTCGTGTTGGAAAGATCCTGATATATATATCCAATTGGATGTAAGTTAGCATGAACTATTATTGTTGACATTACCCTTGAGGTAAAACGTTGGGAGGCAACACTATAAGCCTCTATCTTTCTCTCTGTTTGATTAAAACTCCATAACCATAAGTATTGCGTGAGTGTTAGCAATTGTGAAAGACTAAATGATAGTTGAGTATGTGGACTTGCTAAAAAGCTCTTATGTTGACTCTTTCCTATGTTATGATAAATTGCAATTGCTTCAATGACCGAGATTATTGTTTGTTAGTTCTCAATGAAGTTTTTGATTCATACTTGACATTGTGAACAGATTGTTACTTGAGCATAAGAAATCATATGACAAAATATATCTATGTTGCTGTTATAAGAATGATCATGATGCCCTCATGTCCGTATTTTATTTTTATCGACACCTCTATCTCTAAACATGTGGACATATTCTTCGATATCGGCTTTCGCTTGAGGACAAGCGAGGTCTAAGCTTGGGGGAGTTGATACGTCCATTTTGCATCATGCTTTTATATCGAAATTTATTGCATTATGGGATGTTATTACACGTTATGTCACAATACTTATGGCTATTCTCTCTTATTTTACAAGGTTTACATGAAGAGGGAGAATGCCGGCAGCTGGGATTCTGGGCTGGAAAAGGAACAAATATTGGAGACCTATTCTGCACAGCTCCAAAAGTCCTAAAACTCCACGTAAGTCATTTTGGGAATTAATAAAAAATATCCAATGGAAGAAACATCTGAGGGGGGCCACCCACCACCCACGAGGGTGGGGGGCGCGCCCTACACCCCTGGGCGCGCCCCCTGCCTCGTGGGCCACCTGGCAGCCCTCCGGTGCCCATCTTCTGCTATATGAAGTCTTTTACCCTGAAAAAAAATCATAAGCAAGCTTACGGGACGAAATTCCGCTGCCACGAGGCGGAACCTTGGCGGAACCAATCTAGGGTTCCGGCGGAGCTGTTCTGTCGGGGAAACTTCCCTCCGGGAGGGGGAAATCATCACCATCACCATCACCAACGATCCTCTCATTGGGAGGGGGTAAATCTCCATCAAAATCTTCACCAGCTCCATCTCCTGTCAAACCCTAGTTCATCTCTTGTATCCAATCTTTGTACCAAAACCTCAGATTGGTACCTGTGGGTTTCTAATAGTGTTGACTACTCCTTGTAGTTGATGCTAGTTGGTTTATTTGGTGGACGATCATATGTTCAGATCCTTAATGCATATTAATACCCCTCTGATTATGAACATGAATATGCTTTGTGAGTAGTTACGTTTGTTCCTGAGGACATGGGTGAAGTCTTGCTATTAGTAGTCATGTGAATTTGGTATTCGTTCGATATTTTGATGAGATGTATGTTGTCTCTCCTCTAGTGGTGTTATGTGAACGTCGACTACATGACACTTCACCATTATTTGGTCCTAGAGGAAGGCATTGGGAAGTAATAAGTAGATGATGGGTTGCTAGAGTGACAGAAGCTTAAACCCTAGTTTATAAGTTGCTTCGTAAGGGGCTGATTTGGATCCATATGTTTCATGCTATGGTTAGGTTTACCTTAATACTTCTTTTGTAGTTGCGGATGCTTGCAATAGGGGTTAATCATAAGTGGGATGCTTGTCCAAGAAAGGACAGCACCCAAGCACCGGTCCACCCACATGTCAAATTATCAAAGTAACAAACGCGAATCATATGAGCGTGATGAAAACTAGCTTGACGATAATTCCCATGTGTCCTCGGGAGCGCTTTTCTCTATATAATAATTTGTCCAGGCTTGTCCTTTGCTACAAAAAGGATTGGGCCACCTTGATGCACCTTCTTTACTTTCATTGCTTGTCACCCGTTACAAATTATCTTATCACAAAACTATCTGTTACCTACAATTTCAGTGCTTGCAGAGAATACCTTACTGAAAACCGCTTGTCATTTCCTTCTGCTCCTTGTTAGGTTCGACACTCTTACTTATCGAAAGGACTACGATAGATCCCCTACACTTGTGGGTCATCAAGACTCTTTTCTGGCACCGATGCCGGGGAGTGAAGCGCCTGTGGTGAGTGGAACTTGGTAAGGAAACATTTATATAGTGTGCTGAAATTTACTATCACTTGTCACTATGGAAATTAATCCTTTGAGGGGCTTGTTCGGGGTATCTTCACCCCGACCAGTAGAGAAAAGAGTTGCTCCTCAACCTATTGAACCTACTGAAAATGTTTACTTTGAAATTTCTTCGGGTGTGGTAGAGAAACTGCTAGCTAATCCCTTTGCAGGAGATGGAACATTGCATCCCGATTTACACCTTATCTTTGTGGAGAAGTTTGTGGATTATTTAAGCTTGCAGGTATGCCCGATGATGTTGTTAAGAAGAAGGTCTTCCCTTTATCTTTTAAGGGAGATGCATTGACATGGTATAGGCTATGTGATGATACGTGATCCTGGGACTATAAACGATTGAAATTGGAATTTCACCAGAAGTTTTATCCTATGCATCTTGTTCATCATGATCGCAGTTATATATATAATTTTTGGCCTTGCAAAGGAGAAAGCATCACTCAAGCTTGGGGGAGGCTTAAGTCAATGTTATATTCATGCCCCAATCATGAGCTCTCAAGAGAAATGATTATCCAAAAAATTTATGCTCGGCTTTCTCTCAATAATCGCACCATGCTCGATACTTCTTGTGCTGGTTCTTATATGATGAAGACTATTGAATTCAAGTGGGATTTATTGGAAAGAATTAAACGCAACTCTGGAGATTGGGATTCCGACGATGGTAAGGAGTCAGGTATGACACCTAAGTTTGATTGTGTTAAATCTTTTATGGATACCGATGCTTTTCGTGGATTTAGCACTAAATATGGACTTGACTCTGAGATAATAGCTTCCTTCTGTGAATCATTTGCTACTCATGTTGATCCCCCTAAGGAGAAGTGGTTTAAATATAATCCTCCCACTGAAGTAAAAGTAGTTGCACCTGTTACAGTTGAAGAAAAGGTTATCACTTATGATGATCCTATTGTTCCTACTACTTATGTTGAGAAACCACCTTTCCCTGTTAGGATAAAGGATCATGCTAAAGCTTCAACTGTGGTTCATAAGAGTAATACTAGAACATATACACCTCCTGCGCAAATTAAAGTTGAACCTAGTATTGCTATGGTTAAAGATCTCTTGGCTGATAATATTGATGGGCATGTTATTTATTTCTGTGATGAAGCTGCTAGAATTGCTAGACCTGATGCTAAGAAACATAGACCTGTTGTAGGCATGCCTGTTATTTCAATTAAAATAGGAGATCATTGTTATCATGGCTTATGTGATATGGGTGCTAGTGCCAGTGCAATACCTTTTTCCTTATATGAAGAAATTATGCATGATATTGCACCTGCTGAGGTAGAAGAAATTGATGTTACAATTAAGCTTGAAAATAGAGATACTATTTCACCAATTGGGATTGTTAGAGATGTTGAAGTCTTGTGTGGGAAAGTTAAATATCCTGCTGATTTTCTTGTTCTTGGTTCCCCACAAGATAGCTTTTGTCCCATTATATTTGGTAGACCCTTCGAATACTGTTAATGCTAAGATTGATTGTGAAAAGGATGTTGT